AGTTTACATGAAGCCTGTTGGGCATTTTGTTCCCGGTAGGAAAGTTGGAGGTATTTATAAGTCTAATTAGAGGCATTTATAAGAGTGATTAGTGCGAAGCATCAGCTGCTGGCGGCTTTCTCTCTGCCTGTGCGTGTGTGTGTGTGAGTGTGTGTGTGTGTATGTGAGTGTGTGTGTGTGTGTGTGTTCACACATGGATGCAACACTACAGTTTAGGATTTGTTCCTGTGCCGGAAAGCTGTGAAATACCCTCAATTCCCCCAGTGCTGATGGCAGCAGCGGGCACCGGACCCCCCTGGGATGGGAGCCCTGGGCAGGGGCTGCAGGTTGTGCCTCCGTGATGTAGGAGCAAGGGCTAAGCCAAAAAAAAAAGGGGGAAAAAAAAGGAAGGAAAAAGCTGTATGTGCTGCAAGCTGCTGTTTGACTCCTGGGGACAGAGAGGATGTGGTCCCCATCCCTGCCCACCCGTGGGCTGCCTTGCCATCCCTCATCACAGGGATGAAACCATGTGTTTCCCTCCCTGATTTTTGCTGCTGTGTGTGGACTCTGCACCCTCCCCGCCACCGAACGTGTCCCCTGCTCTGGGGAGCAGAACTCAACCAGCAACGCTGTGGGGCTGGGTGAGTGGCCATCCCAACGCGAGGGACACGAGGGACCCGTCACACCACAGCCTGGCCATTGAACACCCCCCCCGTGCTTTTGCAGGGCTGTGCTCAGCCCCCAATAACAAGCTATGTCATTGCCAGTGCCCCACAGCTTCTTCTCTGGGCCTTGAGAGCCTGAGGGGTGCAGCAGGGGACATGGTGGCATCAGGGAGGTGGTGGTGGCATCAGGGAGTTGGTGGCAGCGGGGAGATGGTGGTGGCTGGGAGATGGTGGCAAGAGGGAGATGGTGGGATCAAGAAGATAGTGGCAGCAGGGAGATGGTGGGATCAGGGAGATGGTGGCACCAGGGAGATGGTGGCACCAGAGAGGTGGTGGTGGTGGCAGCAGGGAGATAGTGGCATCAGGGAGTTGGTGGCAGCGGGGAGATGGTGGTGGCTGGGAGATGGTGGCAAGAGGGAGATGGTGGGATCAAGAAGATGGTGGCTGGGAGATGGTGGCAGCAGGGAGATGGTAGGATCAGGGAGATGGTGGCACCAGGGAGGTGGTGGCAGCAGAGGTGGCTGGTGCAGCTAAGGGTGCTTCCAAAACAGCCAGCCTGGGAACCTCCGTGCTGCCAGCCTTGCATCACACCACTGGGCAGGACCTGCCATAGTTGTGGGGCAGCCCCACAGGTTGCTGTGGGTCTGGTGAGCACTGACCAAGTGCCTCATCCCACTGCAAAGGGCAATCCCTGAACCACAGCCCCACCACCAGCCTGGGCGCTGGGCTCCGCTGCTGGCACAGGCAAAACCACCCCTGAGAAGATGCTGAGCCCCGTGTGAGCGCTCACAGGAGCTGGACCTCAGCACTGCCCATCTCTGGGGTCAACGGTGACAAGTCCTGGTGTCCTTGTGTCCCCCTTCAACCAGTGCCACCCCCACTGGTGCCCGTTGCTGGCCGGGAGCAGGGCCGGCTGCCTGCAGGACCTGCCTCCAGTCAGAGGTGCTTAAAGCATCTTGTGGCAACTCCTACAAGTTCAGGTCCTCCTCGGCCAGGGATTTATATTTTCTAGTCATCATATAAACAGAATCAAAAGGTCAGTGCTGCCCCCACACGCTTACAAAAGCTTTTGGTCAGAGTGGCTGGAGGAAGACAGGGAGATATGTAGGGATACTTCGATTTGTTCTGCACGACTGCAGTCTGTTTCCCTGTCACTAAACAAAAAAACAAACAAACAAAAATTTCCTTGATACCTTCTTTAAAAAAATCAAGAGAAAGATATTCACAGATTTGCCCACGTCGATTTCACAGCTGTGTTTAAAGCAGGTTCTGCACAGCCAGTGGGTAGCACAGTTACACTGACACACGGGGACGGGTTGGTTTGATTTTATTATTATTATTTTTTTAGGGAGACACTGGTAACCTGATGGTCCCCGAATCATCTCCAAAACAATCTTCTTTTCATGCAGCCCACCTGTGTCTGCCCCATGTGGCCCGTATAATCCACATGGGTTTTTTTTTTTTCCGAGGGCAGACTTTTCCCTGTGCTTTCATTTTTTTTTTCCCCTCTGTCCCCGTCTGCGCGGCTACAGAAAGTCCCACACAAGCTGCGAGGTGACACACACAGCAGAGGCGTCACAATGAACTCACTTCACTCCCAGTACTACCCAGTGACCATGTGAAGCCACGTACAAAACACCAAGCTATTTTTCTTCCCAGCCTTTTCAGCCCCGGGGAGGTGAAGGTATCCCTCCCGGCAGGGGGGGAGCCTCCAATGTCAGGCTGAAGAATGAAGCTGGGTATGTCCCTTTAAAAACTTTGAATAGACACTGGTTTAAATTTGAATCTAAAAAGAAAAAGTGAGCTGGTTTCAACCTGGGACTGGGTAAAATGTTTCATGCCACATCTCCATCAGGGAAAAAAAAAAAAAAAAAACAAAATCAAAGTTTCCTTTAAATCTAAACGTTGATGCATTTTCAGTGGCAAAAGGTTCAAATGCTGCTTTATTTTCTCACCTCAGACTGTTGATCTCACTCCAGCCTTAGAGCAGCGAGAGCCAGACCCTGCAATGGGGAGTAGGTGCTGCCTGGAAATCCCCTGTCTTTCTGCCAGGCTTTGGTCCCTGCACAAAACCCCACAGAAACTGCAGCCAAGAAGCTCATCTCAAAGAAGCTCAGTTTGCCCAGGACCATGCCTGCAGGTGGGATGGCTCAGGTGGGACGGCTCAGGTGGGACGTGGGCTGGTGCTGCCACCACCACCCACCCAGTCCCAGTGACCCCCAGTCAGGGGTTCCACCAGCTCCGGTTGCCCAAATGGTCCCAGAGGGTGACCCAGGTCCCTCATGGGGTCCCCAAGTGGCCCCCCCAGCTGGGTCCACCCTGCCCTGACCCCACACTGAGCCAGGGCTGAGCGGACAGAGAGCCATTGTCAAAATCACAGAATCTTCTAGGTTGGAAGGGACCTTAAAGATCATCTTGTCCAACCGTCAACCTAACTGACAAAAATAGACACCCACACAACAAACAAAAAGCATCACCATCACTAAACCATACCTCCCAGCACTACATCAACCTGTCCTTGAACCCCTCCAGGGATGGTGCCTCAGCCACCTCCCTGGGCAGCCCATTCCAATGGCTGAGAACCCTTTCAGTGAAAAAATGTTTCCTAATATCCAGCCTGAACCTCCCCTGGGGCAACTTGAGGCCATTTCCTCTCATTTCTCCTGTGAACTTGAGAAAAGAGACCGACCCCCACCTCTCTACACCCTCCTTTCAGGGAGTTGGAGAGAGCAATAAGGTCTCCCCTCAGCCTCCTCTTCTCCAGGCTGAACACCCCCAGCTCCCTCAGCCTCTCCTCATAAGACTTGTTCTCCAGACCCCTCACCAGCTCCGTTGCTCTTCCCTTGGTCTTGTTCTGCCCTTGTTGGATGGATGGAGGGATGGGGATGTGCCGGGAGGGATGGGGGGAGCAGGAGGTGCAGGCAGAGGGGGTTGCAGAACCCCCCATTCCACCCAGCAGGGCTCCCAGGCAGGGAGAAGAAACGAAGCTTCACCTTGGCCTCCAACAGGGACCACATCATTCATTTGCTGGACCCAGTTTTTGTCCATGTACAAAATCCCCTCGCAGGGTCCCGACACCACAGCACGTGAAGCACCGGCCGGGTACCCTCTTTGCACAGAAAAAACTACATCTTATCTCTCAGGAGGATTTTTTTATTATTTTATTTTTTCCACTAGCAAAACTTTCTTTGTCCAACTCTCCCACCCAGGAAACTTTGCCACAACAAAATTTAATTCAGTCTTGGTTTCAGGCTGTGCTTGGGATCCATTTGGATGCATCCACTTAAACAAACTGCTCTTCTTGCCCCGGTTTCACCCAGCTTTACATGGCCTGAAAGCGCGATCTCCTGACTGGAGCAGAGCTACCTCTGAGCTTCAGCAGAAAAAAAAAACCAAAAAAAACAACTCAAAAGTCAAATCACTGAGTTCAGAGAGTGGGGAGAGCAGCAGCGGGGTTATAGAACACACCCACGTGTAGGAACAATAAACATTTTGATCCCACTTTCCTTAATGAGGCAGGTAACTCGGGATCAGGCACTGAAATCATAACTAGAAACACACAAATGTCATGAAAACACACCAAAACTAATACAAAAATATTTTATTCTTATCTGATTAGAAATTCCACTTTTAGAAATACAAACGTCACCGCTATTTTGTAAACAACGTCCCTCGAAGCCTCCAAAATGTCAATGCAGAGTTTAAATACAGTTTCGCAAAGAAAACGATGTCGAAAAAGAAAAGAACAAAAAGCTACAATGCATTTGAGAAAAGTCCTGAAATGAACTGAACAAAGGACGTGACTTTATGACAAAAATACATCTGGCAGAATTGCATTTTTTCGTTTGTTGAACAGTCCTCAAATTTTCCTCCCGGGAAAGCTGGATGGGCACTCTCTGCACCAAACCGCATTATTTTCAATGATTTGGGTTTTTTCACCATTATGCGAGAGCTGTGAAGTCCCTTTGAGCTCATTACAAACAGCCAACGGGAGTCTGAGCCAGGTGTGTTAAATACCAGAAGGAAAACGAGCGCGATGATGATATAAAAGGGAGCCTGATCCTGCTAACCCTGCTCCGCCGAGCAATCCCTTTTCTTTTCTACTTACTGTTCAGCGTAAGAGCTTCGGGATTAAGTCAGATCTTGGAACCATAATTCCATTTATTTGGAGAGCAAAACGTGCCTTTTTGCTTAACATAAACGTTTTCATTCAAAAGGAGGTTGTCAAGCCTGAAAGCGTATTAAATCCACATTTAGAAGAAACTTTGTGCCCGGTTTCGCACAGAGGAGGGGTCTGGGAGGGATGGGGTGGATCCTGGTGCCCTGACACCCAGAGCAGCCCCCGAGTGTCCCCTCCCCACATCTCCAGCAGCTGGAGGAGCAACCACCCATGGATGGGGATGACCCACAGGGACCCAACGCTGCCAGAGACCCTTGGGATGCCCAACTCCTGCGGGAATGGCAGGGCCACCGGTGCCTCCCACTGCACCCCATATCCCCCACCCTTAAGGTTTATGTCAAGTCATCCAACGCTGAAATTTCCACTCAAAAACACGCTTGCCAGCAGCAGGACACGCATACACACGTGTGTGCCCACAGAGCTTGTGGTTTAATTTTATACAGGGTGGTTTTTTTTCCCCACTTGAATTGCCTCCTGTAGGTAGAAAAGACAGAACAGAATGTTATTTACTGGTCACAGCATTTTTCATACAGTATTACACAGGTTACCAACCAAAACAAAAAAATCACAGCAACCTGTAACCCCTTTTGTACCCGTAACCAGCTAATTCTGAGCATATTTCTTTTTCCCTGCAAGCCTCAGGTCTGGGTTTTGTTGCATTTGAAAAACTGCATCAGGAATTTGTTTTCTCTGCAAGAAACAGTCGAATCATCCTCTAAGGGTCATTCTTAATAAATTAGTCATTCTTAATAAAATAGTGTCCTATGTACTTCCCTGCAAAGGGCTAAAAATAGCCTGCTCTGATTAGACTTTTTGTTTCTACATTTCGTTCAGCTCAGGAGCGCTGCAAAATAAGTCAACAGTTGTCATCCTTTTATAAATTATATACTTTCTAAAAGGAGAGATTTTATAATAGGCTGGATTCAGCTAATGGATGAGTATCATTGATTCATCCCTTTTTAAAGAAAACTGGGTTGAGTCATTAAATAACCGAAAATAAGTCATTTTCTGCCCTCAAATTATTAGACCGCTTTCCTTAAAATAGCACTGAGGCATATTTTGCCTCAGTTCAACATGAGACAACCCAGTTCCCCCAATTTCAGTGGGCTGGGTATGAGAATCTCAGGACTTACTCAGCTTTTTCCTGTGTCTCAAGTGCAGGAAGGGAGCGGGGTTACTCGTGTTTACCTCTGTCAAACAGCAGTTAAAATGCAGCCCTTCCAGCAGAACGCTACAAAATGCAAAAGCGGGGGCCGATTCCCAGGAAATTCATAAAACATCCTTTTTCTAATGATTCAAGGTATTTTTGTGGAGGCAGATTATTGCCTATTTTTAGCTTTTCCCACTGTCTAGCTCGTCTAATTGCTCCATGGGCCAGTGCTCTGGCCCGGGGGTTATTTTGCAGCTCTAATTGGGAAGGGGAGGATCACTCGGCTTCGCTGCCGCTGGAGATGGGGCCCAAACCCTCAGAAAGTGACTCCCTCCCCTCATTTCAGACCCATCCTGCACATCCCTCCACTTGTTGCTCCCATCTATAACTTCCCATGTTTTTTCTGACAACGTGCTCACAGGTGGGTGACCGCTGTTGGTCGTCTGCTCTCAGGGGAGCAGGTCCATCCAAAAAATGCTCCACTTCTGATAATCACTGGGCCATACAGAATGCTGTCCCCCAAGAAATGCACAAAGACCAGGGTTGGAGTTTTCCAGCCCAGAGCTCTCTGCTACAGACCTGTCTCCTGCTGTCCTCCAGGCACACGGCGGTTGCCAGAGGTGTTCCCTTCACCCTGGTCCTTGAGAAGTCACGGAGAAGGTCCCATAAAGTCCTCCTTGGTGTGGCTCTAGCTGGACATCCCAGAAACAGCAAGTGGGAGCAAGCTCAGGCTCCATGCTGGAAAGGGCACTGACCAGGGGAATTTCAATTTGAAAGGTGTCTGCTGACCCACCTACCCACACCTGGGGAAGGGAAATCGAAACACCAAATTACTTTGACTTTGGCAAAAACACTGAAATGCCACACCTGGAACTCATAGCGACAGATCGCCTGAACTCCTCCACCTGTGCTCTCAGAAGCTGAGAAAATCATCGTGTGCCCACATTTAGTCAACACCATTTTGGGGAATTACACAAGGTCTCTTTGGGGTGTTTTCACCTCAACCCACCGGGTAACTCCTCCTGGCAGCACCACCTCTTATTTGGGGGTGTAGGACACAGCACTGTCCCCCTGAGGATGTCAAGGGAGGAGAAAAAAAGATGGATCTCCTGTGTGAAAGCAGGAAACCTCAAATCCGAGCCTTTGCCTTGCCTACACAAACAGCTCCTGCAGCTCAGCCCCAGCCTGAATTTGCCATTTGAGCAGCCCTTGTCTATACAACCGGCCCCAGCACCGTCACAGCCTGGCACCTCGCTGCCCAAAAGCACCCACTGGTGCCTCCCGCCAGGGCACAGCAGCAGCATCCCTCTGGAAATAATTTCGTCTTCTTGTGACGGTCCAAACTGGAGCACAAAGCTCTGCTCTGTGAGGGTGGCTGTGCAAGACGACGACCGTTTCAGCCCCTGGTCTGAGCCGTTCCTCCAGCTCCAGGGCTGAGCTCCCAAAGCACCAACCTACTCCCAGCTCGGCAAGCGTCGGGAGCTGCTGAGGGCTCGACACCTGCAACACCTCACTTAGCAAACTCCATTTAAATCCACGTGCCTACGAGGTGCTTCCAATACAGGGCAACAGGGAAATCTACAGGAATTTGTGGGGAATAGTGAAAAAAAAAAACAAAACAAACCAGTAGAAATGAAGTCAAATTATTTTTCGGCTTTCACTGATTTGAGGTCCATTTGGGGTTTTTTCTCCCGCCAGGGCACAGCAGCAGCATCCCTCTGGAAATAATTTCGTCTTCTTGTGACGGTCCAAACTGGAGCACAAAGCTCTGCTCTGTGAGGGTGGCTGTGCAAGACGACGACCGTTTCAGCCCCTGGTCTGAGCCGTTCCTCCAGCTCCAGGGCTGAGCTCCCAAAGCACCAACCTACTCCCAGCTCGGCAAGCGTCGGGAGCTGCTGAGGGCTCGACACCTGCAACACCTCACTTAGCAAACTCCATTTAAATCCACGTGCCTACGAGGTGCTTCCAATACAGGGCAACAGGGAAATCTACAGGAATTTGTGGGGAATAGTGAAAAAAAAAAACAAAACAAACCAGTAGAAATGAAGTCAAATTATTTTTCGGCTTTCACTGATTTGAGGTCCGCCGCTGTTTTACAGTACACCACACTTACAGGACTTATCTCTAGGCCCACCACAGATTTGACTGATCAACAGCAGGGCACCACCATCATAATTCTTCCTAGAAACAGGAGGATAAAAAGGGGTTTGTTGGGGGTTGGCTGTGTCTGCAGAGAATCCTGCCTGCGGGGCCGGCTGATGCCATCGCGAGCTGCGGCGGGCTCGGCCCTGTGGGGAATAGTGAAAAAAAAAAAAACCCAAACCAGTAGAAATTAAGTCAAATAATTTTTCGGCTATCACTGATTTGAGGTCCATTTGGGGTTTTTTTTTTGCCTCTGGGGAGATACAAATTTCTGACCATTCCCTCAGGCTCTCACTCGGTACCAAGGTTTGGGATCCCTGGTCCCTCCTGCGTGTCTGGGATGCTCCTGGGTCTGCCCCACGGCCGGCGCTCGCCCCCCAGCCCCTCTGAGGCTCTGAGTACCCACCGCAGGGGCAGATCCATCCAACAGCCCTTCTTGGGTGGAAGGACTTCTCTCCAGGTCCTCCTGCAAACGTTGGGTGGCCCGTGTGTCCCCTCCTCCCCGTTCAACCACCCCCTCCATGCGTTGGGTTCAAAGTGGGGGGGACCCCAGGGGGAGTTTCTGACTATTCCCTCAGGCTCTCACTCGGTACCAAGGTTTGGGATCCCTGGTCCCTCCTGCGTGTCTGGGATGCTCCTGGGTCTGCCCCACGGCCGGCGCTCGCCCCCCAGCCCCTCTGAGGCTCCGAGTACCCACCGCAGGGGCAGATACGTCCAACAGCCCTTCCCCGGTGGAAGGACTTCTCTCCAGGTCCTCCTGCAAACGTTGGGTGGCCCGTGTGTCCCCTCCTCCCCGTTCAACCACCCCCCTGTCACTCCCAGTCAGGGGTGGCTGTCATTAAGAGTTAAACGTTGCATTGTGCTCAACTTATTCCGATAAGAATTCTCTAAGCTGCTTATGTGTTATCATAACGCGTGAGGGACCGGAGTGTGGGCACGGGGGGAGAGGCTCCCGGGGGTGGGATGGGACCCGGGCTGGAAGCAGGAAGGTGGGAGCAGAGCTGGACCCGCTGGCACCTCCACGCAGGGTACCCCCGGGGAGTCTCAGAGCCCTAAATTCTTGCCAAGGTCTAATCAGCAAGAATTCGAGTGCTCCCAGCAGCAAATTAGAAAGTTTTGGCTCCCAAGAATGAGTTGTGTTGTTTGTTCCCGCATTCTGCAGCTGCTCGTCCCTCTCCCTCCCCCCCC